GCGACGGCAGAAATCGCGCCGCTCCAGGGCCAAAATAGCTGCATGTGAAACCCGCTTGACAACTGTTTTTCGCAGACCTTTTTCTGCGGAGTGGCTGCGTTCTCGCCGTCCGCTTCCGACACAAAAACAAAATGGCGGAATGGCTGAAGTCACGTGACCGGTCGGCAGCCAGATCTCTCGCGCGCTCCCACTTCCATGCCAGAGCGCCTCGAACCGCTCCGATTCGGAGGACGGCGAGATTCGGAGCTTCGAGAGCGCTCCGAAAGAACCCGGCGAATATACTTGGAGCGTCTGGCATCGACCTGCCGAATGCACACTGGCTTTTCAGAGGGCTCCAAGAGGCTGAAAAGCGACCAGCTGAATAAACCACACCTCTACAGCCCTCCCTCCTTGGTACACATCGTCCACGTGATGCGGCCATGTGCCTCGGTGCTCAGGTTTCAGTTTAGGTTTCGAGCAGTTGAAGTATTTGGCTTTATTAAAAATATACGTGACTCTGTAGCCTCCTCGCGACATATTAAATCACCTGGCAAAACTTTTTTTAAAAACATAGGAGGCGTGTCAGTGCCTCTTTAGGGGAAAAATGGAAAAAAAAGTATACCCCTTCCTCTCCCCTCAGGGTGTTTTACAGCTGAGTTTATCCTATTACATTGTCTGTGGCATACCGTTCACACCGTGTAATTTGTTTTGCCCCTGCAGGATGCAAACGTCGTCTTTGTTGTTTTGCGATGGGCGCCAACAGGAGGCGATGAGGTTGTCTCGTGCAACCTGTCTATTCGCAACTCCATTTCACTATAGGTGGCGCCACTCGTTTTTCAAAATGGCGGTTGTAGTAAGGATTGGAGGTGCGTAAAGGTATACCAGTTGCTGAGGCTGTTTAGTGTGCTGGCTGCACTTAGCGACAGAAAATATTCCTGTTTGTACGAGGAAGCGGGGGTGTTATAAGAGAAGGTTACCACTTTACAATTAAAACAACAACTGTGTTCAATGTTTTTTTGTTTGTTTGTTTTACGCCAGGAGGCACGTTTTACCTCTGGAACAAGACCGAAACTAACCTCGATTTTGGACTTAATTTCTCCGTATAAGTGTTAATTTCGGAATCTTTCATAGCTCAAAATCTGTCTCACAGAGTAATTATTGAGCTAAAGTAATTGTTCGCGGAATTTTTTTTTTTTGACATAAGTGTGTAATCTAGGCGCATAAAATATTTTGGAGTTCAGTGTCCTTTTAAAGACAACGTCTTTCGCACACCTTACAGGTAACATGCAATATTATATTTGTTGATTAAATCTGTGCTGGTATTTGTATGCCCTTGCTGCCTTTTTCACTCAGATAACTTGCATGTGAACTATTAAACTGCGGGCCTTTTAGTGGATATTGGGGGTACTTAGATAATTAATTGCTTTCTCATTTTTCCCAGCACAAGAGGAACAAAATCATTCCAAATTTTACACAATATCGCCACCGGTCATGAGTTTAGAATATGTTCTCAAAACGTATAAGTTAGGAAACGCTGGTCTCAATATAAAAACCCAAACACGGAATCCGAGTCAGACTGCAGGAGTGAGTGTGTGTGTGTGTGTGAGTGTCTGTGTTTTTAAAGCAACGCGTGACGCTTCGATCTTTATGTTACATCCAGTGTCTGACTGTTTGTGTATCTTGATAACGATGTCAAAGTTATGGAGATGCTAAAAGGAACACAAAATGTGTCCTTTCTGGGAATACTAATATGGTTTAATGACGTATGTCTGTTATCGTGGCATTTATTGGGGGTCTGCTTCGCCGTTGTTTGTATGAATAATAATACATAAATTTAGTAGAGCTTCAAGAATGCAGTTTCTTAAACTCTAATATAATTTGTTGGTGAGTACCTAATTTCAAACGCGCGAACAAGTATGGCTATCAAAAGTGTCTGCAAACTATCATCACTGGTGCTAATTGCAGCATTTTTAATTCAAAAGTTACAGAGTAAAAATAGTCTAAAATCAATAAAACATTTGAGATAATTCGAGAAATTCATGTAAAATTGTATTATTTGTGGGAAAAGCAGATGATGCTATCAAAGTCGCCATTATGGACAATCGGCAAAACTTACGAAATCACCGCCCATCCTTGCAAACCAACCACACCCCCTTCCCCCCGAAAAAAAAAGGGTTTTCGTGGTTTTGTTTATTGCAAAACTTTGCAGAACATTTCGTCTCTTTCATTTTTTACGCGGGGTCCTTTGGAAAAGCTGAGCCTTTGCAGTTCAAAGAAACGCCTTCGCGCTTGCACGTCTCCTCACTGCAGCACGTTTCGTTAGTGTTGGAAACCGTTGGAACAAAAGTGAGTTTTAGTACTGCGTATACGAGCGAACACAAACACATTGTGTTTGCGGTAGCGTTACGTGTTTCGCATTGCGCGTGCGCGGAGCCCAACACTGCAGTCTCAGATTGGCGCTTGGCGACGGCACGCATGCGGAACACTCAAGTCTAACGTAACCGTACAGCGATTGCCTTTGCTTATACACGGAATACTAAAACTCTAGGAAATTACAATACCCTACCGGCTGCAGCACTACATTGGGACAATGCAAACTGCCGCATGCATTCGGAAATGTAATTTTGCGAGCCCGTGCCCGCTGAGCAGGAGAACAGCGCGACCCTCACTAGAGCGCTTCCCGTTTCTGCCGCGGGAGGGTGCGCAACGAGCTGAAGACGCGAATACTGCAATACACTAAAGGAGAGGAGGATAGAGCGTGCAGTACGTCAAATTGGAGCCGATCTCTGATTGAAAGGATAATGAATGCACGCAAAGTCTAGCTACCTTTCTCTCCACCCCCTGTCTCCTTCCTATCAGAGTGTCGTCTGCTCGTCGCTCAGGGTTGAATGTTGGAATTCAGGACGTCGGCGTGCGGCGTTCGAAAGCCAGACCTTGCGCAAGGAGCAGACGACGCTCTTGCTCCATCTGATTGGAGGGAAATCGGGGGTTGAGACAAAGGCAGTTAGCCTTTTCGTCTACCCACTATACTCGCAATCAGAGCTCGGCACTCCGACGTGTTCACACGCTCTCATCTCCTCCTCTCCTACTGTTTCTCTCCGTATAGCCGACGTTATGAGATCATCTCTGTCGTGGAACTCTCGGGGAAAGGAGTACCAACTCTTTCTCCTGCTCAAGTCCGCCACCCGTCGTTTGAAGCACTATCTATGGGCAGGCGTCTCAAACACGCGGCCCACATGCATCCCGCGGCTACAAGCCCCGTTCACATGGGCGAGTACAGCAAATGGATTATACCACAACAGCCTCATGTTGTCGATTCCTTCATTTCCTCTAATTGTTGGTTTGTTTTCAGTTTTCTTTCCACCTGTTTCTTATGTTAATCTTCTGTACGATGACCTCACTACTAGGCTACAAGCACGTGTGTCTTGCGAAGGGACACACCTCGGATGCATAAACTTTTACGCAGCAGTAGTAACTGTCAAACCTCATGAGCTTCAGCATTTAACCTTCGCTGGTCCCTGCCGTAAGTCAAAATGACGGTTCCATAGTAAAAATAGTCTAAAGTCAATGAAACCAATTTTGGCTAATGTAAGAAATTAATGTAAAATTTCATTAATTGTGGGTAAAGCGTATGATACTATCAAAGTCGCGACTCTGGACGATGGGCAAAACTTCCAAAGCCGCCGCCAATCCTTCCGGACTTAACCCCCCCCCCCCCCCTCCCCGGCCCCCCTCGCCGCCCATTAAAAAAGTGTTTCTTTTTATTTTTATTTATTTTCAGAACGTTTTAGAACATTTGGTTTGTTCGATTTTTACACGCCGTCGTTGTGCCAAGCTCAGCCTTTCCAGTTCGAAGGAACGCCTGCCCGCTTGTACTCCTCAGTGCAGCACACTTCGAGCGTTCGAAACTCGAGGAATTATTTTTGGTCATGAATAAGAGGCCAGAAAATAATTTAATTGCGGGCTTTAATTCTTATAATGATCCAAAAAATTGACAAAATAACAAATACTTTCTCATAAAGATTTTTATTCTTTTATGACGTTGAACTTGAATAATTTCCTAATGAGGTGAACGACAGGGCAACTCCTCTCGTTCAATTAAAAATACCAGCACGTTCTCAGAGCAGCGCCATTTTACCTTTCCTTGCCTCATCATATATTATCAAAAAGGATCACATAAACTATTCAAAGCTAAATATGTCACTTGCGAAAGTGCGAGTTCACGAGCAGCACACAGTACGAAATCAATTTATGATCCCTGGTGGACAGAAGTTGCTACGCAAGGTGGACCTTCAGGGCTATTACTCTTTCCTTAAGAATTGCCACCCCAGTCTGTTGTCCCTTTACTTTTCGGGAGTCAGAAATTTGGCCCAAAAGCTCCGAAGAGATTAAGACCCTAGATCTAGAGGCTGCTTTTCAAAACAATACTCTTTGGAAACGCTGCGGCGAAGTGCCATCTAGACGCTGTTCTTCAAACCCTGTGTAATATGTAGTTACCATAGTGGCCATCCCACCAAAAACGGTGGCGCGTCAAATGACGGGAGGGGGACAGAGAGGGAGGAGTGCTCCTCGCAGCAGCAGCATCTGTGGGTAGTTTCGCAACTATGTTGACCTAATAACCGATCATGATGTAGAAAACCCGAGACTGCGGTAAAAGCAGAGAAACTTAATCGAAGAGGAAAGACAGAGAAAAAGTACGTCTGAAACTAAGCTACTGTGTTTATTTCCTCAATGTCTTATATATCCAGAACCTAACCACCGACCACCGACGTCACAACGGTGGTTAGGTTGTGGATATATAAGACATTGAGGAAATAAACACAGTAGCTAAGTTTGAGACGTGCTTTTCCGCTATCTTCTTCGACCAAGTTTCCCTGCTTTTACCACAGTCTCGGGTTTTCTACATCATGATCAATATCCACCAGCTCGCCTGTGCACTCGCTGTTTTTTATTGACCTAATAACGTTGATATAACCCTGATATTGTTTCTTATTTTGCCTTCGTGATTTTTGTTGTTCCAGGATAAAAAGTGCCAAAGGGAGCGGCGCAGGCAACCTGGTCGATAGTCGGGCTGCGGCGGTTCGGCAAAGTCCGGTCCACTTCCAGCATTCCAGGGGCTTGAACGAACCAGGGACTTCTGCTTGGTTATCCGATGACGAATGGGCCGAAGAAAACAAGATTCCCCCGCCAGCTACTCCACCTGCGATGCCTGACCACGCCGACACTGTCCAAAATGACGCCGATGACGGAGCCTACAGTTATTGTATTTCGTCCGACAACTCCATGAACGGGGACGTCGGAGAGAAGCCCATTGCCGCCAAACACGAACCAGGCGACGTGAATTCTTGGGACGCGAAGGAAGGCGGCAAGGAATCACTCGATCCTCCAATACGAATCGCTTCGTACGAGAGCATAAGGAACGGTTGGAACACCGCCGACGATTCAGCCGGAATAGGTTTGGGCCGCACGCAAATCGTCTTGAATATGAAGCTGGAAACTGGGGATCTGCCCGACAAAGAACTGAAGGAAAGCGTGTGTCTTCTGCTACAGGCCGAGGCCAAATTGGTGGCTTTGCAACAACAGAGTGAAGCATTGCGAACTGAGCTTTTAAGAAAGGAGCTAAATTTTAACACGGCCGAGAACAAAATCAGTGAGCGTGCAGCCTTCGGTGATTTTAGTAGTACTTAGTAGGTTTGTACTGTTCCCTTTGCGGAGGCTTTTTTCGAACAGCCCTTGCAAACGGAAGTAACGCTTTCTCCTCTCAGCATCTCTCAGTGGTTGCACGGTATCACTTTTGAGCCAAGGGTTTTCCACGAGCCAGCAGCCGCCGGTGTGCGCGAGCACACACAACGAAATTGAAGTCAAGATCGAGCATTTAAAGATGACAATGAAATGTATCGGCTCCGTAGAACAGAATAATAAAGAAAGGCTTTTCATCTCCACAACAGAGATCTATGTACTTGTTGGACAAATTAATCGCCTACCTTTTACTCTAGACCCCAGTGTGAAGATGAAAAGCCTTTCTTTATTTTCCTTTTAGACGAAGCCCTCACATTTTGCTGCCATCTTAAGCGTGAATGGTGGACCATGGCGTCAATTTCGTTGCGTGTGTTCGTACACACCGGCGGCTCCTGTCTCGCACAAAAACCGTGTTGCACCTAAAATGGACACTGAAATATTTAGTTCAGCATCCCTTTGATAAGCGATGCTTCAAAATATCGACACTTGAGCCATATTGCTGCTTAAATAATTGTTGTCAGTTAACAGGGGGTCAGTTGCCTTTACACGTGGCGAATTGTTGTTGCCGTCCTAACTTTAGCAACGTTCAAATCAATAGACCGATCTCACCAGCCAGTTTGACTACGCTACCGCTGCCGCAATGCATCGAGGGAACTTTAGTCTTTCTGCGCGTGCGACAACCTCGCTGGAGCTCTGCGCGTACAGGGCACGAGCAGCCTCGTGCACTGCCGATTGCCCCCTGTGAACTAAAGTTATGGCTGCCTCGCGCATGCGTGGAACGCTTGGTGAGATCGGTCTATTGGGGGAACCGATAAAACAGCACGCGAATCGCTCTAGGGTTTTGAAATAAATTTCTCGAGCACATCATCTACAAGCATCTTATCAGTTTCCTGGATTCTTGTGATTATTTTAACCACACACAGCACGCCTTCCGCAAGCAACTGTCATGTGAGACCCAGCTGCTGTTTCTTACTAATGACCTTTTTCAAAATCTCGACTCCGGCTTTCTTACTAATGCTGTTTTCCCTGATTTCGCCAAGGCTTTCGACAAAGTCCCTCACAATCGCCTTCTGTTCAAACTCTCTTCCTTAATATTAGATCCCCTCGTTCTAAGATGGATCGAACCTTTTCTTAGCTGCCATTCTTCATTTGTTTTCGCTAACGACTCGCCCTCCTCCTCAGCTCCAGTCTCCTCCGGCGTTCTGCAAGCCTCTGTACTTGGCCCTTTACTTTTTCTAATATATTAATGACCTTCCACTTCAACTTTCTTCTTCAGTTCGCCTTTTTGCGGATGATTGCGTTATATATAGACTAATAAAATCTCCCGGCGACAAACTGCCACTCCAGTGCGACATTAACAAAATTGCCGACTGGTGCCGTACTTGGCAAATGTCCCTAAATATTAATAAATGCATGCATGTTTCACGCGCTCGTCCTCCCCCCACGTAACAACATTAACACTAAATGACACTGTCCTCCAGGCCACTACCAAATATAAATATCTTGGTGTTTATTTAACTAATAATTTATCCTAGAATAATCATGTTAATAAGATCATATACTCAGCTAATCGCTCTCTTGGTTATATTCGGCGTAATTTCACGACGGCTATTTCTAACCTCAAAAGACTTCTCTATATTACTCTAGCTCGCCTTAAACAAGAATACGCCGCATCTATCTGGCATCCCCACCTTTCATTTCTCACCAATACAATAAAATCAGTTTAAAACACCTCAGCTCGTTTCATTCATTCCGATTACTACCGTTTTTCCACTGTCACTGAAATGTAATCTCAATTAACCCTCCCTAACCTTTCTCTGCGCCGCAAAATTTCCAGGCTTTTGCTCCTGCATAAAGTGTATTACTCTCCCTCTTTAAATCAGTCTCTTTTAGCCCACCTAACTATGTTTCTTCAAGACTGGACCACACATGCAAGATTGCCCGACCAAAGACCAAATCTACAACCCACCAGCATTAATTTCTACCCAAAACTATTGTGGTCTGGAATGGCCTTCCCGATAACATCGTCACCATCACAGATAACACCAAGTGTCGCCTCGCACTAAGTTCCAGACTTGTACCGTACGCATTACAAGTAATCAAATTACTGGTAATCGATTACTTTTTGGAGTAATTTTGTAATCAGTTGATTACTTTTATTAGGCAGTAATCACCGAAGTAATCTGATTAATTTTTAAGTAATAAAATGACTTGTAATTGTTACAATTTGTTCACGAGACCCCCCCCTCCGGCACACGCCTTTTTTTTTTATGAAATGACAAAAATAAAATTTGCTTTTTTTTGGGGGCGGAAAAAAGAAAGATTTTTGCGGAGCTGTAGGAAACGAGATCAATCTCTTTCTACGTACAGTTTCTGTGGAATGTCCGTTTTTTTTTTTTTTTGAGCTGGGGACTGGGAGTGGGAAGCCCCAGGGAAGCCACAGTGCGCGACAAAGGCCATCCAGGGCGAAGTTTGAGGGAGCAGAATGTAGCTTTGTTAGTCCTTCGTTCAAACTAGCTTCCTCACGGACACACACACACAAATAAAAAAATAAAAAAAATCCTGCTTAGGGTACCTACTCGCAGCCCGTAGGAGAACCAGAACCGCAGAATGCCTAAAGCGGATGCAAAATATAACAAAGGCAGTTCAAATATTTCCCCATTTCCCCTACGTGGTCTTTGTGACAAGCAACGTTTCGAGTTGAGAACTGGTCGGGGCCATCTCTTCCGCTAATGGATACTACACATGATCCGTTTCAAATCCTGGAGCTGCTGCTCTTTTGTATAACATGCGAGCTCATACACATGTGAAAAATAAAATGAGCGACGCAAACTTTGAGCGACAACCCTTGCTCAAGCTTAACAAGATCTAGAACCCATCCCGCTCTCCCCCTTCCTTTCCCTCCCACACACACACACACACTGGCGAACGCCCAAATAATTAAACGTCTTCAAACGAATTCTATGCTTGTGTCCGCATTGTGAAGGTGCAACGACCACGAAGAGGGGGCCAGTTTTTCTTTTTCAATACTTGTGCAAATGTGAAAGATAGGTTGGAAGTAGTTCATTGTTATGAGCGCTAAAGATGTGTCTTCACACAATAAAGTAATCGGAAAAGTAACGATTACTTCTTTAAGTAATGACTAATTACTTTTGCCGTCGAGTAATCAAGTAATCTAATCGAATACTTTTTAGCCAAGAGTAATAGTAATTGTAATCGATTACTTTTTTTTAGTAACGTGTACAAGACTGGCACTAACCCACCACTCCCCTATGTAATGCCCCCGGGCTCTGAGGATATTTGTAAATAAATAAGTAAATAAAAGGATGCACAGATAGATGCATCACTCAGACGACTGTTTATCTGCATTCAAAAGAAATAGAGTTTCTTAAGCCCGGGCCACACTGCTTATGCATCATACCTAAGACAGGCTTTATACAGATTCGGACGCGAGTTACCACGAGATCCGTGCTTCGAATGCCTCAGTGTAATGAGTTAAAGAAGAAAACTTGGCACGTGGCATTCGAACCGCGGATATTGCGGTAACTCGTGTTTGCAGACTCTTTTGTAGGATGCATGATGATGAGTGTGACCCCGGCCTTAGTTTTCAGTGACTTTAGGCTAATGTGCAACTCCTTTCTCTTTTAGCTTGCCATTCCCGCGTGTTGCCTTGTGGCTTTTATTTTGTTGTTCATACGTGTTTTGTTTATTTTTTGTTTTCGGGTGGTAGTCGCTGTGGTGGTTGTTTTTGTTCTTCAATAAAATTTCAGTTGTCAGTCAGCTCTCGTCCGGTCCACTGCTTCTAGCCGTCGTGTTTTTTTTTTGTTTTTTTTAATCGTTGAAATTAGTGAACATTTATGGACAACCAACAGCTGCTCTTCTGGGCACTGGTCTGCACATCAGCCTGATGAAGACGAAACTTGCCACCCAGCTAGGCTTAAAAGTAGTAGTTCATAGCCGAAAGGAACAAGTATATGGCGTAGGTGGAACGTGCAAAAGCTTAGGGCAGATCCAAGCCGACCTCGAAGCAGACAGCAACCTCTTCAAGGATGTGAGTATGGAGGTGGTTCTAGACAACATTTTCACAGGCTCCGACATAATCGTGGGAACAGACGTCATTGACCCATCGAACGTTGAGCTTCTGCGGAAAGAGGGAACGACTATGCTGCTAGACGAACTAGACTTTGCATTTTTTTCAAATAAATTAATCTTGACCATGATAATGTGCGTGTTGCATTGTCCACCAGAGACAGGTTCAAGTTCGAGAAACACCGCACAATGGGTCACACTTGTTTTAGATTATGAAAAACAAAACAGTTAATTGCTTATAGCTCGGAGGGACGAGATGAACTACCTGTGTGGGTCAAAAGACGGGGAAAAGTCTCCCTATCGGGAACGTCATCAACTCTGACATTATTCTCAAGAAGGGCCAGACAGTTAAGCGCCTGGAGGCCTGGTCGAACTTCATGATACCGATGAGCTGATTAAACGCGTAGTCCACTACGTTTGAGTAAGGAAAAGAGGGCCTGTCTACAATAAACATGGAAGAGATCAAGGTCGGACCATCTGTGACCAAGGGACGGAAGGAAGAAATTTGTTAGATGTTGAACAAAAAGCGTGAATGCTTTGCAATGAGCACCCAGGAAGTGGGATGAATGACAGTTGCGACCATGACTATACAGGGGAAACCAGGGAGTTCACCCGTGGGTCGACCGATTCTTACCGCACATCATGGACAGCGCGGCAAGTACATCAGCAAATTACCGACGAGCTTAAGACCAATGGACTCTTAAAGGACAGTGGGTCGGAGTACAGCAGTTCAGTGATGATAGTTACGAAGCCGAGAAAAAAAATACTAGTCGGAAAGTGAGCTAGAAAACCGCCAGAGCGCTTCCAAGACAACGTGACTAACTCTAACTGACTGAGGATAGCCAGCAAATCAGATTTGGCCGAGGGTTGTGTCGCGTATGCAGTGCGTCGACAATCATCACCATGGTGCTTTTAGAAGACCACGCTAAGCCAGAACGAGACTGAACGAACCTGTGTGTCTGGTGGTGTTGAACGGGTCCCATGATGTAGTACCCAGGTAGCACCGAGTTCTGGGCCAAAACTTGGCTTGCGTCTGGAAGTTTAGGGCATTGAAAAGCCCGAAGAAGCCAAGGTAGAGCCACACCTGACCTCCCTTGGCAACAGTCTGGGTATTTTGGCCCTAATTGGCCAAACAAGTGCCATACTTAGGCTTCACTGCCTGGTAGTTCGGCTGTCATCTGGCATCTTTGGGACTAAATCGCCTAACAAATGCCAGATTTAAGCTTAATGTCCGGTAGTTTCTCAGATCTTTGGCATTTTTGGGCCAAAATCGCCAAACTAATGCCAAAGTTAGGCTTCACTTTTTGATAGTTCGGCTCTCATCTGGCAGATTCGGGCCAAAATCGCCACAGATGTGCCAGATTTAGGCTTACTAC